ACCGACTAGGGGTTCTGTGTGAGGTTGTATAAGGGAGTGAGGAATGTCTAACCTTAGGAATGTCGGCCAATATAGGACGTTAGCCGAGCTTCCCTGGTTAATCAACATCTTGTGGACTTCCCAATTAGCAACTTCCACTACGATGACCATGGGGTCATCCTGGTTTGGACAGATGCCGGTGTAGTCGTCATCCGTGAAGGTGATGGGTTGTGTGTTTTGGTGCAGGGCCGAGGTGGAAGTGTGGACATTATTGATGCTGCACAAATGTCTTTTGCGCGCCGAGCTGCTGGAGCCCCCCCTGCGAAGCCACCTGTAATTGTGTTGATGACTCCGCGTAAGGGAGCCGATCCTGTATCCTGACTTACCTCGGCCTGCACCGTTCTGCCATTATTTTGCTGAGATTCGGAGGGTTGTCTGTACGAGTGCCAGAACCTCAGCCGCCTCCTCGTCCTCGTCCGTGGTAGCCTCCTCTGTGAGATTGTTGTCGTTGGATTTATTGTCCAAGGTGCCCTCCTTGGATGAGTTCTTCGATGCGATCTCTAAGTGTGCGGCACTCCTCGGTTGTGTGACCATAGTTTCGGTGGTACTGGCAATGCTTGGATTTGTCCGCACTGTTGGGGCTATGCCCAGGTGGTGGCAGAGTGAGCAGATTGGTGTTGCTGGCCTCTTCCAGGATGTGCACTCGGGGTGCATTTCGATAGTAATTGGGCTAGAACTAGGCCTAGGCAAAATTTTGCATATTAGACTCATTTTGCTCCTAATTTTTTATAGATTTGATTTAGCTAGGTCTCATCATCATATGATGAACCTAACTAAACCAAATCAAATATTTTTGAAATAAATCATGGAGCATTTTTGAGCCTTGGCCGCCTAGCTCATTCCTTTTGTTCTTGGCCGAAATTTCTAGCTTCTCCTACAAGTTTTGAAGCTTGCCTTCCAAGCTTCTAAACCTTAGTAGGTTTGGCTGACCTTACCATGGTTCTTAAGTGAACCATGGTCAAGGTTAGCTTTTCCTACAAGTTTTAGAAACCATGGATGGTTAGCTACACCTTACCATGGTTCCTGGTGAACCATGGTTAAGGTTAGCTTCTCCTAGAAGCTACCTCTCCCTATGTATTTGTAAATCCCTCTCTTGTAATCACTTTTGAACATTTGAGAAATAAAACTTCAGATTTCTCTCCCAAAAGTCTCTCCTAAAACCGAAGAGAACTTTCTCTCTAAGGTTCTCACCAAAGGTTTTCAACCTTTGCCTTGGTTCCTCAAGCTTCCTTCACAAGCTAGGAAGTAACCGAACCAATTCCATTGCTTCTCCACCATTGGAGAATCCTCCAAGGTGTTTCCGCCACCTCAAGGAGTTCAACCTCAAGAGTTCTTCGGTCCTTGCATGGAAAACTTGAAGAATCATCAATCTTCTCCAAGTAGTTCCATCACACGGGCGGAGTAGTGCAGGCCAAGGTAAGTCAGGATACAGGGTCAGCTCTATTCCGAGGAGTTATCAATACAATTGCAGGTGGCTTCACAGGGGGAGGTTCCAGTAGCTCGGCACACAAAAGGCACTTGCAGAGCATCAACAATGTCCATACTACCACCTCGGCCCCGCACCATAACACACCACCCATCACCTTCACAGACGACGACTACACTGGCATCTGTCCAAACCAGGATGATCCTATGGTCATCGCAGTGAAAGTCGCCAATTGGGAAGTCCATAAGACGCTGATTGACCAGGGAAGCTCGGCTGATGTCCTATACTGGCCGACGTTCCTAAGGTTAGACATTCCTTACTCCCTTATCCAACCTCACACAGAACCTCTAGTCGGTTTTTCAGGAGAGCGAGTTCACACTCGAGGGTACGTGGATCTGTTGACAACCTTTGGGACCCCTCCTGACTCAAGGAGAATCATGGTTCGATATCTCCTTGTTGAAGCCAAGACATCCTATAATATAATCATCGGAAGGCCGACGTTGAACCAACTCGGAGCTGTGGTATCTACCCCGCACCTGTCGATGAAATTCCCAGGGAGCAATGGCAGGATCATCTCCGTTAGAGCAAACTAGAAGATAGCTCGACAATGCTATGCTGAAAGCTTGAAGGTCTCGCCATCCAAGGAGCGCCACAAAAGTGACCCCCCTACAATAGCTCACATAGCCCAAGTTGACATCACTGACCTGGACCCAAGGTCGGAATCCCATGACGAACGGCCAAGCCCCATCGACGAGCTTGACGACCTTCAAGTCGGTAAACTCCCCAGATAGTGTACGAAGATAAGTTGGCAGTTAGACCTAGAGCTGCGACAACGACTCATTGAAGAAATCTCTAAAAATGGTGACATCTTCACATGGTCCAGTGCAGATATGCCAGGTATTGATCCTAACCTCATTTGCCACAGGTTAGCCATCCACAAGGAAGCTAAGCCGATCACTCAAAGAAAGAGGAAGGTCGGCGGAGAACGATGCGACACCATCGTCGCTAAGACAAGAAAGTTGATGAACGCGGGCTTCATCCATGAAGTCAGATACACCACGTGGCTGGCAAACGTGGTACTGGTCAAGAAGAGCTCCAGGAAGTGGCGCATATGCGTCGACTACACCGACCTCAACAAGGCGTGTCCCAAAGAGTCATACCCCTTATCGAGCATCGACAGGTTGGTTGACAGCGCTTCTGGCCACGCTCTCCTCAGCTTCCTCGACGCATACTCGGGATACAATCAGATCATGATGTACCCATCAGATGAGGAGCACACAGCCTTCATCACCGACCATGCAAATTTCTGCTATCGCGTGATGCCTTTCAGCCTCAAGAACGTGGGAGCTACTTATCAAAGGCTGATGGACAAAGTTTTTCACCAACAGATTGGTCAGAACACTCTTACAACTAAATTTCTGATCACCAAAGCAGTTATAACTGAAGTTCTAGACCTCCGTTCTGGGCCCTTCAAACCTACGTAAATTTTTCAACTGGAACGGCCTGTTCCCAAACCAGAACGACCCGTTCTCAACCCCAGCAGAACGGCCCATTCTGCTTCCAGAACGGCCCGTTCTCCAAACCAGAACGGCCCGTTCTCCCATCAGAACGGTCCGTTCTGCTTCTACAATTTTGGCCATACTCACTATTCCAGAACGGCCCGTTCTGGGCCACAAATTGGGCCAAAGGCCCACAAAAAATGGGCTGTTACATCTTCTCCTTCAAGGAAGAAACTGAACCACTTATGTTGCTTCAACAAACTTTGAAGCTTGTAACCTTGCTTCCGCCATTGAAGAGACAAGCCTCAAGAGAACGATTGGACTTGAAGATGGAGAATAGAAGAGGACAATAAGCACTTCTTCTACTTCCTTCCATTAGGAATGGTCAAAATTTGAAAAAGGGAAAGTATTGGAAGATTAAATGTTTTTTTATTTAAATTGTTGAAATTGAAAAAATCAGTTGAAGATTTAAGAAGATTTTTTTGAAATTGGTTTTCAACACATCTCCAAAAAGATATTATGTGTATATCAAAATAAAAACCACCCACTAACCAGTAGTGGTTTATAATTTATTTTGAGAGAAGTTTGTTTTACCCATTAGCTATCAAAAAGGGATGGATTTTAATAATAAAAAAAAGATATCAGATAAAATTTAAAAGCACTTTTATCATCTATTTTTCTCTCTCAAGCATCAAATTCTTTTCGTTCCACTAATCAAGATTGTTGATAATAGAGTTTAGTCTCGATGTGGATACACGTAAAGTATTCACACTATTGAAAAAAAAATTTATGATTCAAGAGCTCATCAACAGGTACACATTTCTAAATTTTTATCTCTGTATAGTATAATTTATATGCAAAAATTGATCATGTTTTATTCTACATGTATGTGTTATGAACATTATTTTTTCCCTTCGATTGGTATGAGTGCATTTTTTTATTATGTAAATTATATTAATTTTTATGTGATAAAGCTTCAATTTTTTTATTGTATGTTGCGTACACCAATGTTAGACATGTGATGAAAATATGATCGTATTTACTTATATGTTAGTGTGTTTTCCCTATATGAAATATATGATATAGCTATGTTTTCCCTTTTGTATCTATGCTTTCATCAACAAACATGTGTTTAGCAGTTTTTTTTAATGTTTAAAAAAAAAAGGAAAACTGAAATGAACGTGACTTTTATGTGAGTGGTGTACAAGTAATTGTTACTGACAATTTTTTTTTTAAAAACACGTCAATATTTTTTTTTACTGAAAAAAATTATGTTATGCCATGTTCTGGTGCACATTGCTTTTTAACACTTTTTCCACTAGAATACTAGCGTTTTCTGTTACATCCTCTCATAAACAATTATATATGTAAGGTTTTTTTAACACTCTTAGGAAAAAGATAAGAGAATTGGAAGCAAATCAAAGAGAATTTAGGACTTTTGAGAGAGAGAAATCTGAGTAAATTCTCATAAATTCTCATACAAATGATCAAAAATGAATTTTACAATATATGTTATGATAAAATTTATCAGGGCATAAAACTTTATGTATGATAAAATTTGTAACCATGTATGTTGATGCATGAAATAATTATTATCAATATATTATGATATAGGAATTTATGTAGTTTGCATATTTAATATGTATGATTCTTTTTAATTATGTGTTAATAATTGTATATCATACAATTCCTTTTAATTAATTAGTTAAGAATAAGGAGTGACCTGATAATATAGGAGACTTATAATTAATAATTAATTATAACATATTATACATTTTAATTGTATACTGAACGTCTGGATTACCCGAGGAAGTATTAAAATTAATTTGTAGATGCTAATAAGAATGTCCTGACAATCAAGAATTTATATGGTATAATATTATTATTTTGTTCTAAATGTGATACATGTTATCTTAGACTGTGTATGAGAAATGACTTGACAACCAAGTAGCTTATATATAGTTTTTGAGATTTTCCCACAAGATAAAATGTTTTGACATTTTTTTTTTCTTTCATTCAATTTTCTATACTACAGTATGTCTTATCTGTCACTCCATGGTATCCTTGAAACTGGTAAACTAAATGGAGCCAATTATGATGATTGGTTTCGAAACTTGAGAATTGTTCTCATGCACGAGAAGCTTATCGACATCATTGATAAGTCTGTTGTAACTGCCCTAGCTAGCTCTAATGATGTCAAAGCAAGCAAGACTTATGAGCGGTACTTGGAACAATGTAATATCACAAAGTGCATCATCTTGGCATCCATGAGTTTTCAACTTCAAAGGCAGCATCAAGATATGAAACCTCCTACAATCATTGAACATCTTAAGAAGATGTATGGTGGACAAAGTGGGACCACTAGATACCAGCTATCTATGTTTTTGTTCAAGTCCTCAATGACTGTCAATGATCAAGTTGGACCCTATGTTCTAAAGATGAATGACCTTATTGAACAACTTAAGAAGTTAGGATTCACAATTGGGAAAGAGCTTTCGCAAGACTTGATTCTGTAGTCACTTCCTGACACTTTTTTCTCAATTCATAGTGAGTTTCAATATGAACAAGATGAATTGTGATTTACATGAGATTTTTAACTTGTTGATTAATTATGAGAATCATGTCTCATCTAAGAAAAGAAAGAAACTGTCATGGTTGTTGGAAAGGGCAAAAAGAATAAGGGCAAGAGAAATTTTAACAAGAAAAAGAAACTTTTTGCAGCTAAGGGTGGTGTGAAGCACAAAAAGGTTAATGTTACCCAAGTCAATGCTGAGTGCTTCTTCTATAAAGAGAAAGGACACTCGAAGAGAAATTGTAAGAAATATCTTGATTCTTTAAAATAAAAAGAATAAGGTGAGACATTAACAAAAATTATTTTCATGATTTCTTTAACTGTTATTAATTCTGCAATGTGGGTATTAGATACTGGAAGTAGTTTTAATATCTGTAATTTGTTGTAAGGACTACAGATAACTAGACAGTTGAAGAAGGGTGAAGTTAACCTTCAAGTACGGTATGAAGCAAATGTTGTTGCCTTAGCTTTAGGATCAATTTCTTTAATAATGCCTACTGGAAAAGTACTAGTGTTAGAGGATTGTTATTATGTTCCAAAATTTGTTTCAAAAGTAATTTCAATTTCTATGTTGGACAAACGTGGTTTATACATTGTTTTCAATAATAACATTTGCTTAATTTATCATAGTGATGATTTATATGCGAATAGTTATCTCCAACGTGACATATATATATGTCTTATGTAACGACCCGCCGTAGGCCGACACATCAATAACCAATATGACAACTAAAATAAAATAATATATAATAAAGAAAATAGAGCAAAGGTCAGCTACACTAGAGTGTAAATATACAATAACGTATAAATTGTTTTCATCATCTAAAACATGATTTAATAAAAGTGTCATCCTTAGCAAGGTTATACAGTAATCCAAAAAGATAATGAATATACAACGTCATGAAGACATCAAAATAAGACACCCTAGGTGCTGGTCAAGCTCTAAGCCTAGCCACTTCTCAAAGAAGCTACCAAAAGACTCCTTGTTATCCCAAAGCCTCACACCTGATCTGCTCCCCCACATAGTGAGATCATCACAGTCCACATCATGGAAATATAAGGGTTATCACGTATAAAACCAACCATAGTACAACATAATGAAATATCATTAAACTAGATATTCATCAACAGTATGTATCCATACCAAGGGAATGACAACATTATAACAAGTCATTTCCATGCCAAATATAAACCAATCCAAAGTCCAATGTATACACATCCATGCCAATGCATACATATTCTATGATAATAAAGAATCCATAACCAATGTATACAATTCATACCAAATGCATAAATATTCCACATCCAAACCAAAGTCACACCACTATATAATCCCATGAAGTAGCCAACACATCCAAACCAAATGTTGGCCTCAACACATCCAAACCAAGTGTTGAATTTGTGAACATGTCACCTGCCCATGTCACACACCTAACCTCTCATGGAAAATATACAGCTGGGTTACGTCGTCACGTAACCCTGGTGATCGCGGCCAATTCATCCATCGGTATGACTCGGCCTTGCCCCCATACCGGTAGCAAATAGAATACTTAGAGGAGTACTTCAGAATCCACCTAACATCTGAAGTGGTTTATTATATAATCTTTGGAAAAGTTCCATATTGGAATCCTCACCATGGGACTCCCAAATTCCATATTTTTCCAAAGATTATATCCTGATCTCACCAAGAGATCTAATCCATACCATAACCTTACTCCTCTAAGTCCTATTAGCTTTCCAAACCAAACACACATAGCATATTCCATAATTACATACAAAATTTTCCATAACCATGCCAAATTACTCAATATAACAACATAAATAATTAAACACCCAAAACAACTATCAACTTAACCAAATTACCCTTTGTGAAATGACAATCTTCACATAAAATAGCATATTAAGAGTTATACTACTCCTATCATGCTCATACTTATCTCATATGAAATATAAGAAGATTTCCTACAACTCTTATGCAGACATCAAGTCCTAATTCCATCATCTACTTTGTTAAAAATTCTAAAAACCGCAACAGCTATAACCAATGCTATCAGCTTGACCCCTATTCACTAAAACAGTCATATATGGAGTTCTAGACCTCCTTTTTGGGCAATTATACTGCGCCCGGCGTAATATTTAGTAACCAAATTGTGCCTGGCGTGACTAACCTTGCGCCCGGCGTGATTTGGCAATGATGGTCTCTGATGAATTCACGCCCGGTGCCAAGAACTGTGCCCGACACATTTACAACCAGAAATCCTTGAAAAACCTTGAAAATTCCTTCCAATCATGAATCCAATCCAAATTACATGACTTAGAACCATTATAAAGCATAAACAATATCCAAAAACAACATTTTTAAGCAATAAAATCAAGTTTTAACCATTAATACATGGAAATTATGAAGAAATCATGAAGAACCCTAACCAAACCCTCTCTAGCTCAATCCAGCCTGAATCATGCGTAAAACATGGAATCAATGTGATATTTCAACTCCATACATACTAGATTAAGTCTTATAAGTACTACCCTTACCTCAAAAACTTTAGAAATGCAAGATTTGAACAAAATCCTCAAATTCCCAATTCAAACTTCTAACTGCCAGTTTATATTCGTACACTGTCCGAGGAGTCCACTGACTTGAAGGTTGTCAAGCTCGTCAATGGGACTTGGCCGTTCGTCATGGGATTCTGACCTTGAGTCCAGGTCAGCGATGTCAACCTGGGCGATGTGAGCTACCATAGGGGGTCTCCCTTGTGGCGTTCCTTGGATGGCGAGACCTTCAAGCTTTCAGCATAGCATTGCCGAACTGTCTTCTGGTTTGCCCTGACGGAGATGATCTTGCCATTGCTCCCCAGGAATTTCATTGTCAGGTGCGGGGTGGATACCACGGCTCCGAGTTGGTTCAATGTTGGCATTCTGATGATTATATTATAGGATGTGTTGGCCTCAACGAGGAGGTATCTGACCATTATTCTCCTCGAGTCAGGAGGGGTCCCGAAGGTTGTCAGTAGATCTGCGTGCCCTCGAGTGTGAACTCGCTCTCCTGCAAAACCGACTAGGGGTTCTGTGTGAGGTTGTATAAGGGAGTGAGGAATGTCTAACCTTAGGAATGTCGGCCAATATAGGACGTTAGCCGAGCTTCCCTGGTTAATCAACATCTTGTGGACTTCCCAATTAGCAACTTCCACTACGATGACCATGGGGTCATCCTGGTTTGGACAGATGCCGGTGTAGTCGTCATCCGTGAAGGTGATGGGTTGTGTGTTTTGGTGCAGGGCCGAGGTGGAAGTGTGGACATTATTGATGCTGCACAAATGTCTTTTGCGCGCCGAGCTGCTGGAGCCCCCCCTGCGAAGCCACCTGTAATTGTGTTGATGACTCCGCGTACTTCAATACGGCCGTATTGAGTTCAGTGCGGCCGTATTGAAGTTCAAAATGTTCAATACGGCCGTACTGAACCTCTGGGAGGCCGTATTGGGCTTCATTCCTCCCACTTTTCTTATTTTAGCTATCCTAAGACCTCTAGACCTATAGAGAACCCTCCTTGGGCCTTCTGGAAGTCCTTCTGGCTGATCTTCCTTCAGTCTTCGAGAGTCTTCAAGCTTTATTTCCGACCCGGACAATTTTAGGGGTCTACATCGACCTTGGCTTAACATAGTGTAATTCGCACCGAGGTTCGAACTGGACCTTGGCTTAGCGTAATGTAATTCGCACCAAGGTTCAAACTTGACCTTGGCTTAGCATAACGTAATTCGTGCCAAGGTTCGAATTCGACCTTGGCTTATCATGATATGTTTCTCGCCAATGCGGTGTAAAATTGAGAAGTTATGAGTGGAATGAATCATTTTATTAATATTGCGGGTATGCCTCGTTAAAAAACCTCTCAACCAAAACCCATTTTTCTATTTTTTTGGGACAAAAGACCAAGTCGAGAAAAGAGTGCATAACCTGTTTGTACAATTTAATTGAAGTAAAACTTGAGATGCGTGGCATTCCAAGTTCGTGGGATGGCTTTTCCGCTAAGCTCTTCTAGTCGGTATGCCCCATTTTCTAAGTCTTTAGTAACTCGAAATGGGTCATCCCAGTTAGGCGCGAGCTTCCCCTCTGATGAGTCTCTTCAGGCTTCTCCTAGTAGTCGCCATACCAGGTGACCTGGAAATAGCGAGGTCAGCTCGCGTGTTGTATCTTCTGGAAGCTCAAAGTTTGCAGGCTTCTTCATGGATCCGAGCTTCCTCTCTGAGTTCATCAATCAAATCGAGGTTGAATGTCGCTTCTTGAGCGTTTTTCTCGCTGTTGTAGGTATGACGTTGATGAGACGTTTCACTGACCTCCACTGGGATCATGGTGTCAGCCCCGTAGGTCAGCTTGTAAGGCGTTTCCTGCGTTGTTGATTGGGGAGTACAGTAGTACGCCAAGAGAATGCTGGGGAGCTCATCGACCCATTGTCCTTTGGCGCTTCCTAGCTGCTTCTTGAGCTCTCAGAGTATTACTTTGTTTGCGGCTTTGGCTTGGCCATTGGTTTAGGGATGCTCCACGAGGTCGGGAGGTGCTTGACTCCGAGTTCACGGAGGAAGTCCTCGAAGCTCTGCGCGATGAACTGTCTGTCGTTATCGGTGACAAGGGAATGTGGGATGCCAAACCTGCAAATGATGCTCTTCTAGGTGAACTTCTGTACATTCTCGGCGGTGATCTTGGCGAGTGGGCATGCCTCGATCCACTTGCTGAAGTAGTCGATTGCCACTAGGAGAAATTTGAGTTAACCTTTCGCGGGGGGGAATAGCCCGAGGATGTCCATTCCCCACTGGGTAAAAGGCCACGACGACATCATCTAGTGGAGGACTTCAGGCGGTTGCCGATGTGCGTTGCCGAACTGCTGACATTCCTTGCACCTTTGTATGTAGGCTTGGCAATCCGACTTCAGCGTGGGCCAGTAGTACCCAA